TGTCTGCTAGCTGTAGCAGTCAAGATTACAGGCTAATGGTGAGACAAGCAGGTTATAATGTATGATAATCAATACTCAAAATCTGTTCCCTATGATGTGACATAAGAGAGTGAAGTGAAAAGGCACAGATTTTCAAGACTAGAGCACCAAAGCTCATGCAATGCAGGTGGTTTTCACTTCAAGGTCATTCAGTACTTGTTTCTTCTTCTTTTTTGGCTTCATATTTAATTCAGTCACTGCTAGGATGCCCAGGGAGCAGAAATGGAAAGTTAGTCGATACTGTCAGTATGAATGCAAGTATAAAAACTGTTTTAGCAAATGCAGGAAATGAGAAGGGGAAGGAAAATATGGCATGCAATATATATAACATATTTGCTACATGATATATATCTCTTTTACATAGAGATTGCCAGCAAACTGTATTTTTATTGGCAGTAATGAATAATGTAAATACTGTGTGAGAGTTATCCTCATATCCAGTGTATGTGTAGACACATGCATAAGAGCTAAGAATTACAATCTTAGAACATGGTTATAGCAAAATTAACCTAATCATTCTTGAAATTCTCAAAGCATAGTTTTTGGCACAGTACTGAGTACGTAGTGTAGTTAACACTTCCAATGGCTGAGAAATTCTCTGATCTTTACCCTTCATCTGAAGTTTGTTCATTTCAATCTTCGTTCGGGGAATAATTTTATTAATTTTTTTAAGCAAATACATTTCAGTCAAGTTTTAGAATAAAAGGCCATGTTGAAATGGAATTTCCCAGTTGTATATTTCATGTGCATATATATATGTTGTCAATGTAGATAGCAGAGAATTGTTTATAAATATATGAACATTTATTTAATTTATTTGAAGATAATATGACACAGAACAACTACCAGAAAGGCCGGAAGAGTTTCCCTTCTATAGATGGTCTTTCTGTGGTTTAGTGAAATAGGCTGCAATGTATTGAAATCTTCCCAGTTGTGTTTGCTGATGGCCTCCCAGTACACTATGAGCTCTTGACACTTCAAATACGGTTAGAAAGTTCTACAGGAAATGCTGCTTTTTTTTTTTTTTTCTGTGAGAAAGAAAGGAGCAAAGAGGAGTCCTACTTTCATGGAATAATTGAAAAGTGAGAGAGCAGCAGAGAGAAATGTTGGTCCATTGATTGTGCAGTTCTGAGCATTTTGTGGTAGCTAACATGCAGCATGGTTTTATTTTCATCTTTTGTTAAAAAGGGACCAAATTATTTACAAAAAATCATACAAAGGATCATTAAGTTTACAAAACAAAACAGTTAGTTGGAAAGCTGATTAATTGCTTAGGGAAACCTTTAAAAGTGCCAGAAAACTTCTACTCAGCATTGTCATGGATTCCATATAAGAGAGAAACAGTTTTAGATATGGTTAGAGAAAACCCTAAACAAAACATCTATTATTTCTCCTTATTATATAGGTCCATTTTTAAAGCTAGAGGCTGAGCTTGCCACAGATCTACTCTGTAGGATTAGGAGCAAGAGAAAAAGAACAAAGTTAATTAATAGCAAGCATTTGTAAAATGTAAAGTTCTAGAATTATCATTGAAAGGCTTGGGGCATTTTTTTTGTTTGTTTACTTCTGTTTGATTTATGTGATAAAATGCAATCAAACCTGGTTAATATTAACTATTGCCCACCCCATACTAAAGTTTGGAGCCTTCTTCTCCAATGCTCTTGCCTCATGTGCCTTTTAAAATATATTGATTTGGTTTGTTTCATGTTTTATGTTTTCTGTTTTTTTGAGAGAGAGAGAAGTAGTTTTACTTGGCTGTTTTAAGCAGCAGCTTTTTGATGCTGTAGAAGCTCTGGAAAACTAGATCCAGAGAACTTTAGTGGAGGTGAACCAACGGGTGGGATGAGGTGTATAACAATGTCCTTTATTTGTATAGCTCCCTTTTCATTAAGCAATTGTCACCACATGTTGTCTCTACGGTTATGCATACCAATGCCGTATCATTCAAGTGAAGTAAAATCAAACACCACAAACTTAAATCTCTTCCTTAAACTCTTCTCAGTTCTATCAGTGAGTTACAGTCCTAGGGTTGGGGTTGTCTTTTACTCTTGCTTTTCATTATGATAATTCTAATTTTTATTGTACACCAAAACTAGCATGCAGCTTACTTTTCCTTGGAGGTCATAGAATCATAGAATGATTTGGGTTGGAAGGGACCTTGAAAGATCATATAGTCCAACCCCCCTGCAATAGGCAGGAATATCTTTCACTAGATCAGGTTGCTCAAAGCCCTGTCCAGCCTGACATTGAAATCTTCCAGTGATGGGGCATCCATAACTTCCCTGGGAAACCTGTTCCAGTATCTCACAATCACACACAATCTAAATCTACCCTCTTTCAGTTTATGTAGTCCAGGATACAATTGGCTTTCTGGGCTTCAAGTGCACATTGCCAGCTCATGTCCAGTTTTTCACCCACCAGTACCCCCAAGTCCTTCTCCGCAGGGCTACTCTCAATCCCTTCATCCCCCAGCCTGTATTGATACTGGTGGTTTGCCTGTCCCAGGTGCAGGACCTTGCACTTGGTCTTGTTGAACTTCATGAGGTTCAAATGGGTTCCTCAAGCCTGTCAATGCGCCTCTGGATGGCATCCCTTTCCTCTAGTGAACCAACTGCACCACTCAGGTTGGTGTGCTCTGCAAATTTGCTGAGGGTGCACTCAATCCCACTGTCTATGTCGTTGATGCAGATACTAAATGTTGGTCCCAGTATGGACCCTTGAGGGTCACACTCATTTCTGGTTTCCACTTGGACATTGAGCCATTGACTGCAACTCTTTGCATGTGGCCATCCAGCCAATTCCTTATCTATCAGTCCATCTGTGAAACCCATATCTCTTCAATTTAGCAGCAAGAATATTGTGGGGCACCATATTAAAGGACTTACAAAAGTCTACATAGATGACATCCATAGCCCTTCCCTCGTCCACTGATGCAGTCTTTCTATTGTAGAAGGTCACTAGATTAGTCAGACACAATTTGCCCTTGGTGAAGCCATAGGTGCTGTCTCTAATCACCTCCCTGTCTTCCATATATTTTGATAAAACTTCCAGGAAGATCTGTTCCATGATCTTACCAGGCACAGAGGTGAGGCTGACTCACCTCTATGAATTTTATATTTAAAGCCTTTCTGTTACATTCTTTTCCTCAAAAATCACTCTGTACTCTCCCTGTATCTCATTCTGTCTTGCTTTTGATATTTTTTTAGGGCTTACACCAGTCTTAGATTTTAAACTTTTCAAGGAGGGGAGGATGTATACAGAATGACACTTTTTCACAGAAATGTATCATTAACAAGTATCGGTTCTGAATAAATTATCTCACCCTGATTTAACTGATCATTGTGACATAACAAAATTTTATTTAAATTTAAGTCACATTTATTCATGTCTTTTAAGAAATGTAAGCAGTCAAAGCCATTCACACTACTGGATTCTCACAGATCACCTTTGGCGTTTCTTCTGTGTCAGGTTTCTGCAGTGCAACTGTCCATGAATCTGGTGGTGATATTACAAGATTACTAGGAATTTATTTTCTAATTTAGAAGGATGATTATCACTTGAATTTTCCCTATCTTTGGATTGGCAAGTTTGTCTGCTTTTCTGAAGACCTGTTGTGCATGTCTCTGTGTGTGTGTTTCATCCTTACCTTTAAAGGTGTACTCACAGTTTTTAGTCTAACTGGAATTCCAGGCATTTTTAAAATACCAAATTCCTCACATAAAATGAATATCTGAAACCATCTGCTTTTTGTGGAAGACAATGCTTAATAGCTAAAGACCAGTGTATAGCTGATTGAAACCTAGAGGTAATAAAAGGATTTATTCTATCAGTATTGACTAGAGCGTATTGAGAAGAAAAAGAATGCAGCTTGGTTCAGGGTTTTGTTTTTCTAAAAAACAGTTTTAAGGGATATTTCTGGAATTTTCCTTAGCCCTGACATTGGGTTAGAGTCATGTGTACAATTATAAAATGGTAAATGGTGGCCCAAACATATTCTATTAGTGTAAAATGACAGACAAACTAAGGTTTATAAAGCAGAAAGTTTTCTTTATGTCTTTGAATTGTAGACAGGAAGTATCAAAATTTATGTTCTAAAAATGTAGTGAATAAAAAAATCTTATTTAACTATATTTTTTGAAAGCAATAAGAATATAGAAATCTTATCTGAAAACATTATCAATTCAAATAGTGTGTCACGGTTTGTCATTCTTCCAAATTGTATGTATTGAGAAAATCCATTTTCACTTACGTGCACCAAAACAAAAAAGGGGAAAACTGATTACATGATCCATACTCATGTCTAATAAAATTGCAATATGCACTTTTTGACAAGCTTATATTTAATGCATACTGATGGAAAATTCTAGTTCTCTGTTCTCAGCAGGCAAAG